CCCTGCCTTAGGGTGACTTCTCATACACCTTCTCATAAAATTCCAATTCAATCAAAATAACACATGGTTAATAAAATTGTAATAAAACCAACTTAACACTGACCTTTTTTTAAAAAAAAAAAAGCTTTCTTCAAAATCATGCCAGCCCAACCAGGTTAAACAACGTCACACATTATACAAATGGGGCTAGTCAACATTTCAGATATATTTAACCATAAGCACTGTTCCCCAACCTTGCTTTTTTCCTCTTCCCTCCCCACCCTTCTTTCCTTCTCTAACCGTATCCTTAAACTGGAAATCTTCAGACATGGGTTATATTTTTCATTAACTACCTATACACTGCTCTGTTTTTTTCTGAAGAGCAGAAGGAAAAGGGTAGAAATAATATGGTGTCACGTATTGGTATTATTACTATTATTTTAAAAAAAGGTATCAGTCCACCAGGAGAACAGGCAGTCTTACCACTGGCTACAGACTATCCATTCTTACAGATAAAAATACCAGTCATCACCCAGGGACCAGAGGTCTTTCTAACTGGTCTTTGGGCCACAATGACCAAATTGATGCTCCCAGAGGGTTCACAAGTGGGACATGAACATTCTCTTCTATGCTCCCAGAAACTAATATTTTGCCTCCAATCTAGCGAACATACAATCAGGACCAGCGGCATTGCCTTCTATGGACTTGAACCCATTTTTCAAGCCGCTGAAATTGGTGGCTGTCACATCCTTGGGGCAGGGAATTTTTTTAAATAGATAAATTCCTTGGTTTAGATCTTCTGCAAATCCGTGCTAGTATCTCACTTTCCTTACCTATCTCAATGCGACCGCCATCATCTTTACCTTGATCTGTGTGCTGATATTTTTCTGATTCATCTGTACGGCTTTCTCGCCGATTATGCTGAAGTCCCAGATGCAAAGGAGCTTGGCAGCGTTTCCAGAGCGCATCTGAGGCATAATGACATTGCTATGGAAGGATTTTGCCATGCTGTAGAGGGTAGGGAGAAAGAGAAAAGATGGCAGGCATCTTTATGTGCATTTTCCACATCTGCAATGGAAAAAGGTTCTATAAGTGTCATCTGGAATGCTGTATTTCTGTCTGGCTTATCCTTTGCTCTGCCAAGGGTGCTGGCCTGGTGGCCTGCAAGGGTACTTACAGACAGGCCCCGGTACAGGCCCCAAAACATACATACACACATAATTTTTTTAAATAGCTGAAATTTTGCAGAATTGGCAAATGCCTTGGCAGATTGGGCAGCCAATCTCATGGGAATACATGTATGTATATGTGCATGCATATGTAAGTATGTCTCTGTGTGTGTGCATGTATGTTTACACACGTATATACACACACACAACACATATATGAAGTTCCACTGAAAGGAAAACTGCTCCACCAATCTGCAACATAATTTGTTCAGATCTGCCTCATTGTGCTGATGACACCCAGCCAAATGTCCCTTATTCGATGCATTCCAGTCCTTAGGCAGGTATTTGTTTGCTCTGCCATTGTGGTAACTCAGCATTCTTGTGGCCCGTTCTTTCTCTGATGCAACTGCTAGGGAGAGGCTGTGTACCCGAGTCCAATTACAAGCCGCGTGATAATAAAGCAAGGAAAAGAATGAAAGGAAGGGCCTAATTACGCGTATTCAAAGGAGTAAACTGCTTCACAGGTAATGAAGCTGCAAGTTGCCCCAGCTGTTCCTTTTGCTTTTCATTCCAAAAAAAGAAAAACAAAGGTGAGAAACCACTTTGGGAGAGATTATTTGGAGTGGTAAAACAGGGAAGGGGATTGTTGTGAATTTCTTCTGCTCTCCAAACCCAAGATTCTGCTTTTTAACAGTTCTTCAGTTTCAAGTCTGCAGGCCCAGACCCATGCTCTTTCTTGTACGTATCTGGAAACCGTGGAGCAATGCCCCAAAAATAAGATTTAACTTTAAGTTGGCCCCCAAGATTCATAGAAGTGACCATGGGATGTTTCTTTCCTTTTTAGAAATCCATTTTGTTTAATAAAACCAAATATTCAGCATTTAAGGGGAACATTCAGGAGAGATTTGTATTTTGAAAGGACAGCAGTTTCACGCCAGGCTTTTGAGCCTTGTCAGCAATGACCTTCCTTTTGCTAAAGACTATTAAAGCTGCCCAGGACTGACTTAACACATTACATTTCTGTCTTCAACCTTTGCCAAAACTGCAATAATTCAGTTTTCTTTCTCGCTCTATCACACTGTGAATGGGACAATGAAAAATTATTCCAGCGTTGAGCACAGGGTGATACTTAGACACTATTTTCTTAGTTGTCAGCAGATAAAGCCTAAACTGCCATTACATCCACTTCTGTAACAGAATTATTTTTATGCTTAAGTAATATTCAAGAGTCCAACCCTTTTGTCTTAATAAAACGTATGACTCTTTGAAATTACAGAATTTGGAAAATACAGAGGTATCCAATTATATTCCACCTCTCTCTAGGCTTCATGGTGGCTTCCATGGGGGTCTCCCCAGCAAGAACTCGGTGAGGTGGGCAAGGGGCCAAGAGAGAGTGACTGGCCCACAGTCACTCAGAGAGTTTCCATGACTGAGGGTGGTCTTGAACTTAGTCTCCTCCCTGCTAGCCCAACACCTTAACCAACCTGTAGATCAAGCTGAGAAAGCAGATGATAAAATAAATCCCAATTGTGAAAATGTAAGCTAGCTGCATGTAATATGGCGAGGTGTTCTCAATTTTTGCTATTGTAGCGTTGGTATAAAAGCCGCTGTAGAGCACCGTGTTTGTAAAGTAACCCTGGAATGATAAGAGAAAGTATCAGAATTCAGGAGATCAGCAAAAGATTGTTATTGATAGTATCAGTTGTCTAATATTCTTCCCTCCCCGTACAGGCAGAGAAGAACTCGCTGGTATTCAGCCTGTTTCATGCTGGGTTTATTTTGTAACATTCACTCTTATTTTGGGTTGCTTCTTCTTAAACAGTCTTTTTAACAGGCAATTAGAATCACACACCATACTAAAACATGAAGTGGTTTGCTTGCTGGAGTTAAGTGTGTTGTGTGAATCCAAATACTGAAGTCTAAACCATAATTCATGACTTAGCATCTCAAGTGAACCCAGCCAGCTGTGGTTGAATCAATAAACCACAATTAAATCAGATTAGTACAATGGAAGGGAAAAAAGAAAACCCAGCTCTGTCTCGATTTTTCATTTTACAAACACACGTACAGCTCCGGTGAAAAACTCCAGGCCCATGAAGGAAAGGTGGTTTGGTTGGGCTGCAATGAGCTGAGGAACAGCAAGAAAACTGAAGTTCACAAGGAATGAGAAAACGTTGAACATGAGAAGCCATGTCAGAAACACAAAGTAGGAATGGATGCTGGTCCCAAATTGGCTGCCGATGTCTTTGAGCGTCTTCTGCCAAAACCGAAAGAGCTGAAGGCAGTCCACAAAGCTGTTCTTTAACTGCCGGAAGGACTAGGAGAAGAAAACAAAATCAGCTCACCATTGCTATGAAGAGCATCATGCCCAAACCATCATGTAACCATAGTTAAACGAAGAAACCCTAACTGCTTGGGTCCACGCCATGCAATAAGCGAAATACCAACCAATTCCTTCTTGGTTTTATCAAGTTTCAGATGCAAAATAACTCAATCAGGCCTGACAATATATATATTGACTCACAGGGAAGGAAACCTCCTGGGGATCCACATCAAGAGTAAACGTCTCAGACCAGCTTTGATAGGCTAATGCATCCCCCTTCTCAGGCACTGCAGCACACCAGCAGGGATATGCTACATGGCTGGGCCTGATGGAAACTGAAGTCTAAAATACCAGGCTGAGTACAGCCCACACATCCTCGCAATAGATAACATTTCTTTTTCTCTCAACAAATGCTCTTTATTCAACAAAGGCATGTCTCAGTTAACAAGAGTAGAATTTCAAGGCTGACCGAGAGGAACCTGCATACTCTTTCCACACGCCATTCTCTTGCCCACTGCCTCCTTTTCCTCCCAGGCATTACAGGAGGAAATGCAGAGAGGAAGGAGGATGACCTTGACAGAGATCAGCAAACGCTGTTGCTTAGGCAAAAGATGTCATGGTATATGGGAATGACCTTGGGAGACAGGAAGAGTCCCAGGCTAGGTAACAGGTCAGATAAGGGGCAGCTGAGCTCGCAGAAGGAATGGGGACCTGGCAGACATCTCAGGAGGGGCTCTCCCTGGTTTCCTGGATGTGAAGGTGAAGGGGGAGAGATGTATTTTCAGATTTGCAAGATTCTGTTAATGTAACCTTATAATAAAGATAGAGCTAGTATTCCTGGGTGTGCTTCTTGTCTGGACTACCTCGCAAGGTTGACAAAAGGGGCTAAAGCATTTTTGAAGTCCAGAACGTTCAGATAACATTTGGAAACAGCTCAGACAGACACCTCCCTAATTTGCTGAACTATTAGGAGGAGGAAGAGGTACAGCACAATCAGACTGGCAAGATTATTATAGCTAATCTCAGTAAAAGTACTTTTAGTCTTCTTGGGGACTTGATTTGCTGGTCTGGTCTATCTAGCGGGGCTGGCAGGAAACACAGGACCTAAAAGGCCATTCATCTGGGAACCCCCATGTTATGGGTACCCTGATCTTCTGCCCTATAGTCTGGCAATAAAAGGGTGACTTCTTACCAAAGCTGTGCTGTAGAAGCACTGGGTACAACAATTAAGATGCGCATCCCGGCTGTGGGAGTTCTTTTTTCTTTCTGTAAGAACACGGTTCCTGTCAAATATCAGACAGCAAAATAATATTAGTGAGATGGGTGGGTGGAAACCAGCTCTTTTAAAACTTTATTATCTCATCCTAAATTGGCAAGTCTAAAACACTAGATTAACTAAAGATGATAAAACTCCAGTTGTTGTTTTAAATCAGTTTTTTCCCTTATTTCATTCTCCTTCCTGCAAGATAAGACTGACGTGTTCCATTAGCAAAATGTGACCACATGCACAACATGTCATTTAGACATTTAAAATAATTTCTGTAGAATATTTAGACATTTTGTATCTAAAACCACTTATAGGGCAGTTTACAAAACAAACAAAATAAACAGTTCTACATATATCCAGAGAAAAAATTAAAGTGAGAACCAACAACAGTATAACAAGAGCTCTTTCCAGCACTTCAATTAAATGTCAGTCTTTTTCTATTTCTGTATAACACAAATCTCTGTACGCTTGCTAGATATGGAGAATAATATATATGTGTATAATCTCTATATGCAAACACTGTACTTGCTAGATGCAGAGAAGGAAAAGAATAGAAGGAGGTGAAACATTAAAATAATCTATTTATTTTATATATTTATATTTCGAATTTAGACACCACCCATCTCCCAAAGAAGTGACTCTGGGAGGTTTACAATAAAACAACAAGAACTAAAACAACAAAGAAACATTAATTAAAATAGAATAAAAACAGTATAAAAATAGAGTAAAACCAAACACATGCATAAATAATGCATTTTTAACCCTTGTGAGTTAACTAAGTACCCTCAGAATACAAATATGTGCCTGCTACCTAATCTCACGTTTTTCTTTCATTGATTTGGGAATCTTCTGGATTGCTTTAACTCTTTCACGGCTAGACATGGTTGACAAATCGTTGATTAATTTTTCTTCTGCAAAAAATAAAGATGGCAATAAAATCAGGAGAGAGACGGGGTTCATACATTCCATGAAGTCATAGTTTCTCAGTTGATTTCAGGTAAGTTTCTCTGGGTGATCCATCTTGTAATTAGGAGGCGACACAGCCCCACCAAACCAAAAAAGAAACTTTTGCATTCCAATGGTCAATGATTATAACAACAGGAATCAGTTCCTGATGGGACTCTAAAATTTGAAAAGAAAACTAAAGAGAACGGAATTAAACAAAATAAATAAATAACTGACCTTCTTTCCTCTTTGCTTCCATATAGCCTGGGTCTAAACGAAGCAAGCTGGGTGTTGCAAAATCTGCATCGCTGTCTCGCCTGCTATGTCTCCGGACAATGTTAACTGTAGTAAAAGAATTAACCGTGGAAAGTTTCAATGAATTTGCAATTAACTGCACAATCATACAAGCATCTAATCAGAAATCTACGCCTACCTTGCCTAGAACTGAGCAGACCAGGATTGTGCTTGCCAAGAAGGAAAAAAGGAGCCGGAGCAAACCGTTTCATAATATTACTCAATAAGGGAGAAAGGAATGAGGAAAAGGCCACAGAAGAGCCACTGTTGTGGCAAAGTAACCGTTGGCCTTCCAAACAGCACCGCTCAAACCCAACCGTTCACTCAAATGTATTGCTTTAGCAAATTAAAGGTCTGACCAAGGGAGATTCTGGATTGAGATTCAACGTGGCTCATTTAACCAGAGTTTACTGGCTCAACTACAGTTAGTTTGGTTTAGGCAACACACTAAGCCCTAAGCCCGGATACACGAATCATAGTGTTTGGCTTCACAACAAACCAAGTGCACAAAACCCAGATGGCGAGCAAGCTTCAGCATGAGGATCTAAGAGATCCGGGATGTCACGATGTTGTTTGGGTTTGCATGCAACATTATAAAGATGGTATATAAACCATAATGGCTGAGCTGTACATGTTAAGCTTTTCTAGCTATGGCTTGTTACTTCCTTGGGTTGATAGAACCCAGCTCTTGATGTCTTTTTGGTGCCAGGCTAAGCTCCTTCTCTGGGCGTTTTAAGTGATAGCCTTACACTTGGGCAGCAACATTTAACCTCTTATCTGTTCTGGGCTACTTATTAATGTATTTTATTGCATTTATTATTTTGCCTGTTTGGGAAGTTACTCTTTTTCCTGTTTTAAATATGTTTTTTTTCCTCTGCCAAAAGAGTTTCAGCAACTGGTCGGATTAGAAATATGATTATGGTTTGCCTCAATCTCTTTCATGGATATTTATGTGATAATTTCTACTGTCTGCTCACTAGGAACTTGACAGGAATATTGATCTTCTTCCCTGCATTCTTCTTTTGGCATTTGCTTTTCAGTCTTTGCTGGCCCAGAAAGAAAACGTGAATTATTTCTGAGTATTCCTGTTCTCCATCTGCCTTAGTGGAAAAGCCTTGTCCGTGAAGGACTTTCACCTGGACGCCCTTTCTGTGAAACCATTTAAACAATCTAGATGATTCATCTTCAGTATCTATCTATTTATTTATTTGATTTAGAGGTAGGGCGCCTAGTGTACTCTCCTCCCATTCTTCCCCTCAATAACAACCCTGTGAGATAGGTTGGAGTGAAAGAAAGTAACTGGATCGCTGTCCCCCAGGGAACTTCTATGGCTGAGGAGGGAGTAGAACCTGGATCTCCCTGGTGTCAGTCTAACACTTTAACCACCATACCACAACGGCTCTTACTCTGGCGTTTCAGTGTTGGATGTTAAGTCTTTAATCGGTATCTTGGAAAATCCATGTTCATACAGTTGAAACATTAACTAAAGAGATTTTCCAGTATGGAATTTCCTCCTTTCTTGACCAAAATGAGTCAACCCCCACTTTCCACAAATCGCCTAAAACATGTACTTTTGTGCAATTTTCCATAAATTGCCCAAAATACGTACTAGAGAATACGCCTGGTTCCCGCCTTACAAGCATAGTGACTGAAAATAAAATTAATAAAATTTGGTTAAAGAATGTTAGAAAAAAATAAGGTTGGGTCACTGAATATTTTTGGACCAAATCTTTTAATAAATCCAGTAAATGAATTGTCTTAAATCTTACCTCTCTCTGATGCATCTGAGTACCTGTCTGCATCCTGAATATTGCAAGCATGGCTGGTAGGAGGTAACATCCATCCAAATTCTGGTTGATACTCAAAGGAAGGATTCACTGATAAAGGAAAAAGAAAAACACAGAATAAACTGTTTACACATCTTGTAATACATACAGACTGGATTTATCTATCTTCTTAACCTAAGTTTCTTAATCCATGATTGAATAAACCACAATGGGCTAGGTTCATACAACATGGCTAAATGGTTGGATTCATAAAACATGCTAAGCCACAATCAAGCTAATCACATTTTACCATAGTGTAATGTATGAACCCAGCCACAGAAAATGAGGGATATCTAGGCTATAGCATTTCCATCTGACATGTGAGTTTTCTACATGCAGGGAAATATGTATATGGAATGACATTAAGTCATGAGAACCTTCACCCCCAATCTGAAATGGTACAACCCGGACCCAAATTGACCAGCTCAATACAAATGAGGACACAGCCAAATTCAGAAGACTCATGCAAGCACACTTAGAACCATTCAGATCATTGCTCCAAACATTAAACAATTAAAAGTTGCATGCTCAGACATTTTGGCATAAGGACTAGAAATATTTGTTTAACCAGAAAACAGTTCAGGATTGTTAGTCTGCAAGCAGCAGATTAAAAAGCTCAAAGCAGGTTATAGAACCCTGGAAGGGTTAAAAACATTCACTACATAAACACCAGTCAAGACACTGACGACACCATCTTCATCCCCAAATGGATTCTTAAAGAGACAGATCTTCACAGTCTTCACAGGTAGACTCGTGTCTACATCTATATACAGTACAGAGACAGACTTATCTCTGTGTCTATACTGTGGACACCTCAATTATCTGCACTGCTTTGACCTATACATTCAGTGGAGCTGCATACCATGTGCATTTCCATATGGGTTTGAATGGGGCAACTCAACCCCCAAATCTCTTGGTTGATATTCATCCTCATATTCACTCCGTACTAAGTTCAGCGGTATTAGAACTGGTGCGTTCTGCCTTTGTCCTCCTCCCCTGTTGTAATCTTCAAAGGGGACATAAGGAAAGGTATTGCCTGAACTGTGATTAAAAGAAGTACTCCTTTGAGAAGGTCTTCTGTAGAACAAACAAAGAAGGGGGAAGTTAACAATTATCCAAACCAGATAAAGGTATTGCTTTCAAATTCACCTACAGATGCCGCAGAAACCTGGTGGAATTACATCTCCTGTGCAATTATTAGAGATCAAAGAACAACTTGGACTCCCTAACAGTACAATTTGTTACAGCCCTACTCAGAATAAGAGTGTGTTTTACATTTTTAACAACCTGAGAAACCTTTCAGAGTTGAAAAGTAGTATGTAAGTACATGCAAATAAACATCTTTTTCTAAGAGCGAAGTTAGAGGGTGAGTGCCAAAAGGATTGTAGCTTAAAAAGGGGGCACTGAGTAACACAACAAAGTAGGTTGCTAAATGTCAAGAGCAACCTTAAAGCTTTTATTTCAAGTAACCAAAATGAAAAATGGAAAACAGAAATTGAACTGATGCTGGGGGAAGGCAACATTGGCAGGCACACCAAATAGGAGTATAAAAATAAGAGGAGGAGGAAATATTGCAATCTTTTTGTCACCAATTCCACTTCTAATAGCCCCCTTAACAAAAACCAAATCTCTATCCAAATTTCTTTTAGGCACATACACAGTTCTTCCTGATCGGAAACTTACAGCTTGTCGATTTCCAATGTTTCAGAATAGCGGTAGCCAGGATTTTCAATATCACCGTAAGGAAAAGACATGATGGGTCCAAATCTTGGCCTTTGTAGGAAAGAGCCCCTGGAAATTTGCTTAGATTATCTCGGTTCTGCAAATCTCATCTTGAACCTATTTCAAAAGAAATTAACATCATGGATGTTATGGAGACTATTAGAGAGTTCTTCAAGAAGACATCTATTTTTCCGTTAGCAGGCAAAAGTAGCTATATTGGTATCTAGAGAATTAAGGAGAAGAGGGAACTTTACATTATTTTTTAACTTTCCTATTTCTCTTGAGTTCTGTCCTCTTCCTACCAAAAGTCCTATGTTTCATCTAAGGACAGACAGAAACCTAGCAGTATTACTTGACCTCACAGCAGAAGTTCAGGGCTCTGCAAGTGGGCTGTTTGTGTATGTGTGTGTGTTTGCATAAGAGAGACAGGGAGGGAGAATTAACACCCCATGACTAGCAAACGATTGGGGAAGCAACAAATCAGTCTGCCAATTATTTCCTCCTTTCTTTCTTTCCAAAAAGACAGTTTATAATCAAGAAGGAGTTAGATTACAACAGACATAGCTACCGTACAGAGAAACCCTGTTGTAGATTTCTGAAGAGGGAGTTGAGTATCTTGCATTACAGATGGAAATTCGTGTGACAGTATAAACACTAATTTATTATCATATAAATTAATTATTAGACTGACACTGCATCTTTTCCCCCGAGACTCCTTTTATTGATACGCATGATACTGTATCAGTATCGCAGGCTTTGTCTACAAACTACAGTCTTCTCTCCCAATTACATCTTGTAATCTGGCTATAAGAATGAAAATGTTTCATCTTTTATTATTCTCACCAAATGATGTGCTTTAACTTATCCAGAAACAAATCACCCCCAATGTTCTCTGCATCACCCAAAAGTCATGTGTGTTTGTTCATGAACACGGAAACATGCAAAGGCCTTAGGGATTGTCACACTGGCATTAAGAGACAAAGGTCAGTTATTTTCATGTTGGAAAAAATGTCTTATGTCAGCTACATAAAAGCATATTTCAGAGACTTTATCATCCAGAAATAGCTGGCAGTCCTAACAGAGCATAATAAAATGAATTATACTTTGATCTGATATCAAGCTCTTTCTCCTTCCCAACTACTTCCATCCCACCCCAGAAAAACCAACCATAATTGTTTTCATGTTTATCTATGACTGTTTGGTTTGATTGGAGTTTAATGCGACGAATACTATTTTATGTTATATACGAAGCCATCCCTGTGATTTATTTAACAAACCATGTTAAAAATCAACTAAAGTTTAGTGACTGCATTTAATATTTTTCCTCGTTTCACCAAACTTTTTGGCTTTTTACAAATTTTCCTTCTTGGCCCTCCTGTAGAATTGTTATCTATTCTTAGGGTAGAGGAGATCTTGTTTATTTTGATCTTTTCAATCAGATCATGTTTTAACATATGGCATTAAGCTGCCTTGAAATTCTATCCAGGTTGAAAAGCAGGAGGGAAAATTATTTCAGAAGTTTGAAAAAAAATACTAGTATAAATTTTTAAATTCTATCTCAACAGTATAAATATTACGAGGTACTGTACCCATGTCATTTAAAAAGCACTCATAACCTTCACCATGCACTAAAGTAAAATTATTTTATCTTTGCAATAGCTTCTCGGATGACCCTGAGCAGGAAAGGTAAAACTGATCTGGCTTTGGTACCAGTTCCACTTTATAATTTAATGAGATATATCGTTTTCACCAACCTCACTTACAAGCTCCTGTGCAGAACAAAAGAAAGAAACTGAAAAAGTCTTAAAATTAACAACACAGACTGGCTACTTGCCACTGCCTCAAGTTAATATAGTGCCTTTTTTTTGCCCAATATTGCAAAAAAGTAAAAGCAACATGTGCAAAAAGATGTATGTGGCCAATGCCACTTCAAGAGCAGAAACTATAGCTTATTTCTCACTGATAAGTCAATTTGGATTGTACAGTTTCAGACGAGCTGCATATTTATCCATTAATACATATACATACACAGAAACAGCATGTTGGGTAGAAGCCTTTTCCTCTTAAAAAGATGATTTATCTATACACATGGTGTTTTGACTTTAATTTCAGCACAGTAAAAAATGTATCTTTTAAATGTACCATTAAAATGGTATCTTCTACATGTTTTCCAATGCTGATCACACATTTGTGGATAATCTCTAGCTGCTCAGATGAAGAGTAAATATGGGGGTGAATACCAGCAGGACTTTAGCACAAATGGGGATACTGAGGAACCAAACAGACGAATCAGTGACAGGAGTGGGACACTGCAATGTACAACTCAGCCAAAAAGGAAGAGAAAAATGCATTTGGGGCGGGAGGAAGTTCCCAGCTGATGTCTGAAGTTTATCAATACTGATCCTGTAACGTGCCTAGATAAGAAGCACAGGTGTTCTCTTGTATACATTTTCTTGGCAAAAGTCCCACTAACCTCAAGGAAGATAACTTGGAGTAAACAAGTACAAGCTTGCATAGTTACGTGCATTTAAATCCCCTCCATTTCTATGGGAATTAAGCCTAAAATATTTATTTAGGGGCTCCACCTATATATAAACATTGTAACTAACTGATAAAGCCCTTGTAAGTTTTGTTTTTTAAAAAGTTACTGTGATAAAGCAAACAATGCTTTATTTATATATGTAGGTAAGTATGTATGTGTTTTATTTCGAATGTAGATACCGTCCATCTCATGAAGATGTTGACAGATATGCAACACAGGATATTTAGCCCTTAGATTTTCACTTGTATTTTATCATCTGTTTACATCTGAAAACTGTATAGGAGAAAACGAATGGATGATCCAGTTGTTTAAAGTCACACAAATACACTGGGAAAATGTAATTCCTGTACCGGAGTCTCAATAGAAAAAAATTCAACCAGTTAGTAGCTTTTTCCACTAGTGAGGCAGTCAAGAAGTACTACTGGAATTACTACAATACTACTATTGTCGAAAAGACTACCCTATATTTTCAAGAACTTTAGCAAACATCAATCCTTTGACTCTAATAATCATTAATACAACTCGTCAGATCTCTTTCTTCCCCGTCGTCCCCAGTCTAATATGTTGCATTTACTTCCTGATCAGTGAAACATTCGAAAATTCCCTGTGAAATTATTATGCAGTTCAGATAATCCCCAGTTTAAGAACAAGTTCCATTCCCAAGGTCTGTCCTTAAGTCAAATTTGTACGTAAGCTGGAACAGTATTATT